ATAAGCTGAAATTAAAAATTTCTTACGGTTTCCATTGAACAGCGATCACGAGTAATGTTTCAAAAATGGCCGTTCAACGCCTACTGCTTTATCCTTTCGTGCACCTGAGATAAAGGAGAAGGGTCAAAAGGGGTTTCAAAAAGTTGATTTGCTACAAAATCTGAAGACTGGTCGAATGTCACAGGCTTTATTCTATGATTTCAGAATTTCCCATTCATCACCAATCGCCTTGCAGTGAATCTTGGCAAGATCTTCTATCCACTCTACTTGACTCATTGGCCTATTTATATACTTGCAAAATACCACGTTGGTGCTTTGCATAATGGTAGGTACTTTGAAGTGTTATTTTTCATTTTCTCGGTGCTCAGCGATACTCAGCAGTTAGAAGAAGTGAAAAAACGAAGCAAGCAAATTTTCAGCGGTGAAAAACTGGTGGTAAGTTCGTGGATGGTAAAAAAGTACACGGAGAAGAAGAGGGTCGTTCGGACGAGTTTTCCGCTGACCATCGCTCGGGTTTATATGACTGCGCATACATACAGCTCAACTGTGTTCTATAAGAGCAAGAATATCACTTCAGACTGTGTTTATAGAAAGACGAGAAGAATTATAGGATGACAAGGAGCTTCCTGACTAGTTAGGCCTTGTAAGACCCCCTCGGGGAGGTTCTTCTTCCCGAAAAACGTCACACATCGCCTAGGCAAACGGTTACCGCCAATGGCTTACCTCCCTGCTGATAAGCATAGTCACTTGGATTCCTTCCTACAAATGAAGGAGCCGTGTCCGATTTTGCACCCACACATGAATATCAGCACCAGGGGAAGTTGGTGTAAACTGTTAAATGTTTCGGGGGTTTCTCATGCCTTTCTATTCTCTGGTCCTTCTTCTCTGTTTTTCAGCTCACGCTGGAGGCAAAGTGCACACTCACTCCCAGGGACCGTACTCGTCATGTGCGAGGCGAATGGATCAGCAGCTGCAGTACCAGGCCGCTTCCTCCGCTTAAAAATGGACAGGAACAGGGCTGTTGCGTACCTTATGTCCGAGTGCCACCTAAGTTTTCCTCCTGCGTAGTCATCAAGGTGCTGCGCTTGCATCGATACCAAGATCCAGCAGCGAACATATACTCAACGATAGAGAGCAATCAGAAGTGAGACAGCGCAGACAAGCAAAGCATCTGGCCATAGCCAGGCGCCTAGCTGACCGTGCTGCAGCGCGGGCGGAGTTTGAGACGGCATTTGGAGACCACTACCCTCCGGCCCGGTTCCTGTGCATTTTTCTTTGGAGAAAGTGGCAAGCTGCTGCAGCGGCGGATCCAGCTCCTCACATATGACAAGGACTCGGATCCACGGAGGTGAGTGTCCAGTCTTTAAAAAAGTCTCTTTTATTCTCCCTTCTTTGCCTGTTCGTTCAATGCTCAAATGTTTATGGTTTCGTAGTTTAGTTAGAGCTTAGTAGAATTAGAGTTAGTAGTGTAGAGTAGAGTTTAGAGTTAGAGTTTTCAGAGGGCGTTTCAGAAAGACTTGACTGTTTTTTTGCTCACGGATAAAGCGTGCATCAGGTGCAAATCTGTCTACGAAGCGCAGTATTCACCATTTCCAGCCCTGTCTTCGAAACTTCAACTCAAAAAACTGGCCTGAGAAGTTCTGCCTCTCAATGTTGCGACAAACTCAGTCTGAGCTACGTCGACTACACGTTGGGACGTTTGATTCAATATTGCAACCTGGTCAGAAGTTCATGCTTGCAAGGCTGTGCTTCTACGCACTCAGAACACGGACTATGCCCATGCAATTGGGTCGAAAGGCCATTCGGGCGCGACGTGTTGCGCACGTCCCGTAGGAGCAGGCAAGGCATCGGTGTGATAATCAGCAACAGGCGGTTATATTAGGTTGTTCGAAAAGTTCCTGCGACACACTTTGGACCAAATTTTTCGCACTAAATTTTCTGTCACCCAAAGACATCTCCAATCCACAAGGTAACCATAGTTGATGACTAGGACTAGTGCCCTTCTTTTGCACAGCTTCTCATTTCCATTCTCATAGAACTACGGCAACTGTGATAAAAAGAAGAGGTGGACCTCATTCTCGAGTTGAGGTCGATTTTCGGGCTTTTTGCTCTTCAAAGGATGCAATAGGGACCAAAAGAGGTGATAATTAGAGGCCGCTAACTTTGCTGAATAACCTGGGTACGGTCGCATTCTCTGATCAAAATTCATGATTTTTTGACGTGGCCTGATTCCCACATGCGGTCATTCGGTATGACTTGTCAGACGGGTCCAACTCATGAGGCATCCTTCACATAGAATTTTTCCGATAACGAGATTGCGGAGAAGCACGGAAGTTGTCAGGCAGGTGGAGCCTAGAGAGGTTGCCAACTTACTGGTGGTTACCTTCGGCTGCGGCTCAAGAAGCTTGAGTAAAGGGTCGTCATTCTGTGCTGGTGGGCGACCTACACATTGCCTAACTACGAGTTAAATAAGTCCAGCTGGAAGCGCACTGATAGCAAACAGCTACCCTCTGCCATGGCAAGCGATATCCTTCCTCAAGACAACGTAAGTGTTAGCTTCCTCGATTACGGCGGAGTTGCCCTACAGGAACTCATAATATGGGATAGGTCGAAAAGTACCTCGATCTCTGCGGGACTTTTAAGCTTTGAAAACTTCCACAAAGTCATGATATACCCATGTGCAGAAACCCCAGGGACACACTCCACTAATCAGGGATAAAAACATCCAAAATGATTTTTGGTCTTTTTCTAGAACAATTCAATCAAAGTGTCGCAGGACTTTTCGAACAACCTAATATTTGACCTCGGGGAAGCGGAGGGGGATTTCGGCCGTGTGGAGCGTAGGGCCTTTTGTGAAGTGGGGAGTGCAGCGATACTCCAGATCAGCTTCAATGATGAAGGACTTATTCATGTGAAGAACACCTGAGGAGACACATACAAGACAGAAGCAACCTGCCAGCGCAGAAGTGAGGAACGGGCGATGAGAGGAAATACGATGGCCGCCCACAACGACGTCATGAATTAATAAACACATGAAAATACACTTCCGGACCTCTTCTGATCGCAGGAGCACATCTACTTGCACGGAGAAAGCACTATCTAGACGTTGCACCTTCCCAATACCTCTGCATGAGACCCCTATGCATGGCGCATTACAGGGGTAATGCCAATCGGCGCCCAATGAACTATTTCCTGATAACCGGGAGACGTTCAAGAGAATCGTAAACTGCCGCCCCGTCGCGCGCAGCAATGGGCGCGACGTTTCCTTAATTTGCACTACCCTTTCGATTGAGACATCGGATTTGATGTAGACAAGGTCCTGGTGGACACTTATGATTATTTTCGGTCATACTTCTCGACCAATACCACCAAAAATCAAAATTCACCAAAATCGTTAATTAGCAGGCGCGACGTCGCACGCGACGCCCACTGGCGCGGCAAATTACGATTCTCTTGCCACATACCCCTGATACCTTTGGCGAAAACATGTGTTTTAGAAGTCTTTCAAACGAACGAAATTTCGTGGCGTCGGAGGGGGTAGGTTTTCGTGTCTTTCGGGAGGAGTTGCGTCCACATCACGACGGAGGATTTTTTCGAATAGCAGGGCTAGCGTTAAAATAAAAGTCTTGCTGGAAAATAGAAACCTTCGAAATTCCGTAACTGCTTTTTTGTTTTTCAGATGGCATTGTGAAGATTGCTATGAGAGTTCAAAAGGGTAAGGACTTGTAAGTGACCCCCAAAAAATCTCAAATGGGATCACAACCGGAACAGTTCCTTATCACAACGGAGAGAGTTCTTGAAAAGAGTTTTTCGAAATCGTTTGAGCTCAGGTAACAAGTGTCAACCTAGTTCTCCACACCCCTGCTTTCCCTTCTTTCAACGCTCTACTCTCAAAGAAGTTATGGATGTTCAAGCGAAGGGTACTTTCGGAGTGCTTGGCTTGAGACTGCATCCGAACCGTGAAATAGCTCGCTCCAATACCACAGCACAAAGCGCGCTCACCTTTGAATGACCGCGAACAATTAATATTCAAGTGCTGGCACTTGCATTTTCCCGCATTTTCTTTCTTTCCTTGTGTCTTTTGATGCTCATTTATAATTTATTACTTTTGTTAATTTATTTATGATTTATTATGGCTCATTTTCATCGTGTTTCTCATATTTATCCTTGATTAACGTCGCGTCTTTTTTTGTCGTTTATTTTCGCAGATCTTCCATTTTTCGGTGTTTGTTTGTCCGCTGCTGATCTGGTCCGCTGCTACCATTAGCAGCGGACAGGGGAGGGGGGGGGGGGCGTCGAATCAAGACCGCACATTAGCAGTGGACCAGGAGGGCTCTTGAAACCTCTTCTAGAGGGGGTGTCGTATTCAGCAGAAATTTATCACAACGCGATGGCGTGCCCTGTCCGTAGGTGGCTTTGAAGCCACAGCCGGCTAGATGAGCGCAAAGCACTTCCAGTGGTTGTTCTGTTCGAGTTGAAATTATGATTTTTACCTAAGGAAGAGTTCCAGCTGACTTGTTGTTAGGAAATTCTTGTATAAAAACTGAGCCTATGTTTCGAAAAAAGCAGTTGCATCCTGAGTTTCGCTTCAGACAAGTTCTATGCATTTCAGCGGTTGAAGTCGGGATTGCTGTCGACTTTGGTATCACCTTGTTTTATCAGTGTTATCTGAAGAAGCTTTACGCTCGAATGTCATCGATGACAACAAAAGTACTCTATGCTTTGATGATTTTCTCTACCGTTGTACTATCAATGAGAACTATCGAATTCGTGAACGAAGAACTTCACTACATCTCGATTTCGTTCCAAGATGCCCTTTACGATATCCTCAATGCGATGTTTTGAGCTGATAGATCTTTTAGTGCCCGTTCCCACTGCACAGATTGAATAAAGTATTTCTTGCAAACAGTATTTTTTTTACTTTCCGACTCTTCAATTCGTACAGATATGTTCCCCACACATAAATGATAGAGCCATAAATAGATATAAAACTAGTGTACATTAGGTATTACAGAGTATAATGGGTTTAATAAGAGCGAATGTTCGCGGTGCAAAAGGGGGCGTGGCTGTCTGGGGCGGAGCCTCCAATAAGAACAGGACGCGATGGTGATTTAGCGGTTTATTTCGTTTAGCTGTGTTCCTCATATATAAAAGGACGTGCCCGTTGTGGATGTCCGAAAAAACCATTGAGGAAGTATGAGTCTTCGCGGAGTACATGCTCCATCCCATGGGAACTTTTCTACCCCGGAGGTGGAGAGGGTATGTCTGGGGTAGCTTGGCGTAGAAGCGCCATCTTCGTGGGATACTTTTCGTTTGAGAGCAGGACTTCCTTGTGTTCGAAAAAATGACGTGATTACAGTTGCGTCCAAAACGTCAATATAGCCTGGCCAAGCAAAGCTGCTGCCACGTTCAAAGATGCGCAGCCACGCGCTGGCCGTGTTTGGGATATGGAGTGAATAGAGAAAGGAGAGGAAAGGGTTTGGGTGATATAGAGGTGAACTAAGATGCTTTCGCTCCAAATCGGGGTGAATTGCTAGGAAACCCGAGCAAAGAACATTACTTGAACAAGGACGTCATTTTTAAAGGCACATTCCGCGATAAAATAAGGCTATGACCTCTCAAATGTGTCGGACGATCCGGAAGGCGATTTTTGAGGCTGCGCTACTTTCAAAATGTGGAAAACGGCAAGAACTCCGCTAGAAGCTGACTAATTAGGCCCATGGACACCCCTTAGGCCATGCCGACCCTCACCGGCTGCTAGCTACTAGCTAGTAGCCACTATGTTATCTTTCTCTATACCATTTCGGACTGCTTTTTCTGCTGCTTTTCTCCGCTAATCAGATACTTAGCACTTTTTTGTGCCTATTTGAGTTCCGTTTCCCGCAATTTG